TTAAAAAAAATAATAATAAATATTTATTCATTTTTACTAAATTAAAGAAATCGCAGAAATGCAATAAAAATATGGATATAATATAAGGCAATGTGCAAAGTATATATAGGTGAAATATTTTGCATGAATACTCATAAAATGTCATTTACTAAATTTTTAGCAGGAATGGGGTTACTTTATCAAAAAATGACTTTTATGCGAACTATGTGAAATCTGATCAGGTATTTATTTAATCAACCATAGTTACAAATTTTTATTTGAAAATGTTATTTATGAGTATAATATAATTGATGAATGGCTAAGAGAAAAAAGCCTGTAATATTATTTCTGTTAACAATACTTTATAAAATTTATTAACTTGTTTTGCAAGTTACTAGGTACTATCTGCTGAAGAAAGAGTCAATGGTATATGTACATGGAAATTTGTAGCCAAGAGTTGTAGCAATTAAGAAAACAATAATTTTAAAACATCTGGACATCTTTTATCAAAATCTTTAACAACCCATAATATACATTTGTCATTCTATAAACCAACATAACACATAAATGTCCTGTTTTTAGTTTTTATAGTAGTAATAAAATTACAGTTAAATAATCAGTTAAGCAATGATAATTTAAATAATTCAAGATATTAAATGCATGTGCATGTGTACAGTTTTAGGTGATTTGTAATAATGAGATTTTATGTTTTTATGTTTTAAAAACTGCCTTTTATTTCAAATTTGGCTTTTAATATATATATATATATATAATTTTTTTTTTTTTTTTCAGATTATTCTATGAATGAAGTGCCTGTATTCTGAGTTGTATTTTCTGTACAGGAATCTTGGATGAATAATGAAATTAGAAATTCCTTTATATTGCATTATAAATTTATCATATTTACATGTAAGGCTGAGTAATAACTAATAAATGCATCTCTTAGAACATAAAAAGTACAGTTTGTTTATAAGAGCATTTAAAAATATATACATCAAACCTAATATATTTTTTTGCAATGTAAAATCCACTAGTACTGAACATTTCTTCTTAAGTTATGAGTTGGATATATACATTTTTTAAATTCAGAACTGACAGTTTTCACTTGAATTTTAAAGGAGTAATGGTTTTCTATAATATTTACATATAATGTATAATAAAATTTAACTGTAATTGAAAAATTAAAACAAAGAAGTTTATTTTGCTATTAATTTGAGTAAGAATACTAAAAGCTTTTTGATAATGCTTAGTAATCTTTTCATCAGTAACAAATGAAAAATCTGTCTTATATTTATCATCTTCAAAGATATATACAGTACTATTATTATTTTATGCTTGCCACTAATAACATTATTTACTGCATTTGTAAAACATTTAAATTTTCCTTATTTAAAGTAATCAAAAGTAATATTAAATTAAATATTACAAATTTTTAAATCTTGGTTAATAAAATTCATGCTGTCATGTGAATGTCAATTGAAACGGTAAATATATTTTTATAGAGAGGGGAAAAGTTAAGTTTGTTTTCTGAAAAATCTAGTACCATGCTCAGCTATTAAATATTAAATCAGCCTCTATTAAATATTTTTCTATGTAATTCAACACTTCTTGATATGGGAGATTTTAGTCAAATTCATTTTCAGTCTATTCTTATTAATTCAGATCTTTTGCTTAACACATTCATATGTTAACATGTTAAGTAGTGGTATCATTTAATAGCGAATCACATGTTAGTTCTCATAGTGAAGTATATATTAATACTGTTTTCACGTTAGTTGCCATTGTGTCTTAGTTGTGGTGGTAAATCCAGTAAATTCAACTTTTGATTTTACATTTTTTCAAAAATTTTCCATATGATGAGTGAGATTAATGACAATTTACCAGGGCCTTCTATGTGAATACAAAAGACCATTAACAGATAAAGAATTCGGAAAATATTTAGGAGACAATTATCAGGCAAGTGTAGGAGTGAATTCAGAACAAATATAAATTCTTCAGACAGATGATTTTGAATATTCAAATAATGACATACATGAAGAAAATAATGCACAATGATTACTTATTATGTTAGGAAATTTAATTTTGAGACGAGGAGTGAATTCAGAACAAATATAAATCCTTCACACAGATGATTTTGAATATTCAAATAATGACATACATGAAGAAAATAATGCACAATGATTACCTATTATGTTAGGAAATTTAATTTTAAGAAGACAAATTAACATCTATGAATTTTTTTCTGTAAATTAGAAGGTCATAATTTGTGGTAAACTTTTGTATACCTACTATGACTGTGACATGTTAACATTATTCCATTAATGTTAAATTCTGAAGTAACAAGATTATAGCAGTTTTTTTGCTTTAATATTTTATATTAACTATCAAGTTTTTAAACTGATTTTGTCTAAAATCTTAGTTTATTATAAATTGCACACATTTATAATTATTATAAAAAGAAATATTCATGTTTTTAATTTTTTGTTTCCAATATTAAATTATTTTTAGATATTTTCAAAAATCAGGTCAGGCATTTAATTGACTGCTATTTTCAGATTATTATTTTATAAATATCTGATATTTAGCTATTCTTTATGTAATTGTAGATGCAGAAATGACACTGAACATTAAGTATCACTTATTTTATCATAAACTTGGTTCCTCCCCCTACTATCAGTATTTGCTCATAGTAATCATTAATTGAAAAATCAATTAGCTGGAAAGAAATTTGATAACAGAATTTGAATGGAACTTGAAGTAGGTAGCCTTGTTTGCTTTGTCCAAATTAAACAATCCAATTCAAAATAATTAATGATTTAAAATTTTCCCCCACAACATCCACAAGTAATTATGTCAAATCATGTGCCAATTAGATGAACTGTATATGTAAAAGTCACCTCTCTGACAGAATTTTAGTTTATTATTTTAGCGTAAAATATACTGAAATTTCCTTCCAATTTTTCATCACAAAAGTGTGCATTTAATCAGTAAAAAATAAGACTTCTGATTTTGGATTCATCTGTTAACTAAATGTAGTTAATGATAAATAATTCATATCTAGGAACTGGTGAAGATTTGTTCAGCTGATCAAAGAATTTAAGACTAGTATCCATATTTAATAACTATAAATGAAAATTATAAAGTGAATAATCATTAAATTATAGTTATTTTTTTAAAAAATTCAGATAGACCACTTACTGCTGTGCAAAGTAAAATTTTCATTGATCTTCATGTCTTCTATTCTCATTATTGGTACATAAAATATTAAGTATTGCCAGAATAACTAGATTTATGGAATATTTATAGCTGGAAATCATGCTCAAGTCTTCAGGATGGGGAATAGGTTGTAGCGCATGCTTTCGTGATTCGTACACATATGTAATATAAATATAAATAAATTTCCTGCAAGAATTCTCCAGAAAGGCATTCTTTCTCTCAGACAAATAACTCTTGAGTGTTTTACCAATGATATGATGCCCATAAAACTCGAAATCTGCTCAAAAATAAATTTAAGCAACTGGAATAAATTCAAGAGTTTTTTAAAAGGTGATTAAGGTAAAAAGCATGTAAATGTTAGATTTTTAATTTATTAAAATCCAGCTAAGCATTTCTGTGTTTTGTCAGTCTAATGAGTTGTACTTAACATGAACATATTTTAAAAATTTTTCTAAATTTAAAGAAATTTAGTGAAGTCTTGTAAAAATTTTAAAACATCAGTTTTTCAGAATTATAATTTATTGTAAATAAAAATGAACACTTGGACACATGGAATAAGTGCAAATGAAAGATCTATCAATAAAAATATTGAAAACATTTGCATTTAATGCATAACATACAGAATAAGTATTTTCTTTTGTTATATTTTATGTATTAAATAAAAATTTAAACATAGTGACATTTATATAAAACAAAGCTTGGCAAAATATAAAATGATACAGCCAAAGAGAAAATAATCATTATAAACTGAATTTTTAGTACTTTTGTTACAATAAATTTTCAATATTTCTTATTTAATTGAAGCAATAACCAACTAATACTACATAAGGCATCTCATACTTTTCCCATCAACTGTGAAAAAACTGTATACAATATCTTACAAGTATTTCTGACAGTGAGATTCTCTAAGTAGCAAAATGTTATTCAGTAAGCTGTTAAATTTTCAAAATTATACTGAATGCACAGTTATAAGTAATGCATATTCATAAACAGTCACAAGAGGAATGCAGTTTATCAATTTTATTTATGATCATTATAAAGATATCTAAACTATGACTAGACTTCTAGCTTTCAAACACTTTGAATTTTAAAAATGCATATTATAATTGCACATTTACACAAACCCTTTTCTATTATTTCAGTTAATTATTTTTATTTGCATTGTTGCTTAACTATTTTTACTACAGCATATTCAGTTAAAAAATGATTTTTTTTTTTTGTAAATTTTATGTAAAATGTTAAGAAATGGTATTTGCTTATAAAATTGAAAAACTGCTGAAAGGATAGACAGTAGCACCACACACAACACAAATTTCACATATTTTTATGGACATGAACAAGACTTCTACAACATTTTAAGTAGCAAACCTGAAATTGATAGAGCTCAGATATCTGTTTAACATTATCAAACATTCTTACAAATCATTCCACATAAACATTAATGCATTCACAAAGACATATCTACACTAGTAACTGCTGTGCATAAAAGGGGTTAGATTAAAAAATTATATAAAACATATTTAACAATATAATCAATACTTTAATTAAGTAACTTAAGTGGTGAAATTGAACATCTGTATTACAGATAATGAAAAATTCATTGCAAAAGTACTATACACCACTAGTTTAAGTCACTATACACTAAAAGGTTACCTCTCTTAATTTAGTTATGGTTGCTTTAAATTAAAAAATAATTAAACATAAAATTCATAACAAACAGCAAATATTTAAAGTTATAATATTAAACAATTTTCAAGATATACACCATATAAACATTAAAATGTTATAATGGGCATTTAAAGTGAAATATCTATAAATAATAGTTAAAGATGGTTTTTTGAATGTAAATAAATTCAGGATTCTAAAAATAAAAATATCAACAGTTTCTGAAATTTAAGATAAATATAATTGATCATATATTTCTGATTATTTGACAGAGAAATAAAATGTTCAGAATGGGGATAGTATGTTAGCATTAAGATTTCAATGAAGGGAGAAATAAAGTAGTGTGATGAATTAACATTTTATATGGTATTAAAATGTATCAGGTTAATTCCAAATTTTTGTGGAGATATGGACCATTACAAAAGAATAATGAAAAAACTTAGTTCCTTTTCAGAGTCATATTAAAAATCCGTACCTACTTTTTAGTATTTAATACCATTCCTAGAGTTAAAATATAACTTATGCTAAAAATATTAATATCTCAAGACAAAAATTTAACTTCATTTAAGGTATTAAAATGAATTTTAAAAATTCATATATTTTTCAATACATACAATGCAAACAAATATTTATTTTTTCTGTGCGTAATTGTATTTAAAGAGATTATTTCAATGTATACGATAATAAAAAAATTACAGTTCTCAAAGATATCTTTGATATCATGAGCAATTGAATATTCTATAACTGACAGTTATGTGAATGTGTGAGACTGGAAAATGTTAAATACAACAAATTCTATACAATAAAAGGCATAAATATATTATACAACAAAAATATACCATACACATTACATTATTACCAAGAAAAATAAGATACATAATGATTTATTGTGTAGTTACACTTATTAAGTAGTTACTATCTAAATACAAACCTAGTTATAAATAGCAGATATACTGTTATAATTATTATAGTCATATACATATCCATATTATGAATACATGCATATATATGTACTTAAAATACTTATACAAATAAAATAATAAAAGAATAACTTATGTATTAGTCTTACATTTTGAAACCTTATATTCTTTTATTATATATTCATTGTTTTTTTATAACTCAAATAAAAGAAAGTAATGTATGTTCAAACCTCAGTTTATAAACTAAACTTGTTCCTGAAGGCTTTTTGTCACGTGAAAGAATACTCCCCACAGGAATTAATTTGTTCCTGGATCACAGATAACCGTTCCTTTAAATTTTACAACAGCACTTTGTGCAAGTTCGTAACTCAAAATGGATAGAAATCATTGAATGTATTTCATTAAAAAAAAGAAAAAAAAAATTACTTTACAAAGAAGACTGGGTAAGTGGAAAATGATGTTGATATTGTTTTGATGTGAAATTTTCTACCATAAAAATGTCAGATAACTCTTAAGGAGTTACTTCCTTTCATCTTTCCTTTGTATCTAAGCACTACTCGGCTGTTTGAATTTCACTGGGCCTGTTTCACTTAAGATCTGTCCAATGTAATTTTTTTCCTACATTTTAAAGTGTTCCTAAAGTGAAACATGGCACTGCCACTGAAAATGGTTAAGTTGCAGCTTACTACTGCTTTACTAAGGAGATATTACTACGGAAAACACTGCATTTTACCCTATTATGCATAAATTTTGCAGATCAAAGAATTAAGGGCATTTTCCTTTCTTCCCCTTGTTCTGAAAATGAAGGCATTACTTTCACAATTGCCTTTGTTGCTGCTTCCAAAATTATTGTAATTTTTCCTTATTGAGCTAATTTTTATGGCCCTTAGTAACTTTTCCACATCTTTTTTGTTGATTTTCGAATCTATTGTTCTAGACACAAGCGGAGAAAATTGAGGGAGGAACCTAAGCATCAAAGTTTTTGTCTGCAGCTCAATCTGGCTATAATTTCTTCCAGGCCAAAGTCAATCCAAGTCACTTATTGGCCAGGCTTAGCTAATGAGAACTACGAAATAGAAAATATTAAAATGTTTTTTTTCCAGTGTTAATTATGTAGCACAGGTTACCTTAAAATATCTTTGAAAATCTTAAGCTGTCAATTTGAGAGTTTGTCAAGACATCATTTGTCATCTGATGTCTGTTTGTTCAAATAATTTATTCGTGAACTGAATTGTTCATGATCTAAGGTTCCATTGCATTTAAATTCTTTAATAAGCTAAAAGAGAACATTATATAGATACCATGTTATATAGAAATATACACTGAGTATGAGATAAAATAATAATGCCATTTCTGTTACAGATTTTCTCATGTATCATTTGTAATGAAAGATACACAGGAATTCAGTCATTGAAAATGCAAGCTTAAAGCCTAAAAAAAAAAAAAATGCACACCTAAAAATTTTTACACACATAATTATTCTAACCAAGTAATAAATAATCTAACCCAATAATATAATTTAATAAAGTAAAATAAATTTTTATTCTTAAGCTATGTAATTTTCACTTAATTCATAGATTTTATACATCCATGAATAATAAAATGTTAATTATGATTTAGATTCACACAGAATATCAATTGCAGATGAAAAGTACTAATTTTCAATTAATGGTTCCTCATACTCCAGTTATAAAATGAAATTCAAACCATACATATAAAACAGTCATTAACATAATTGATACTAAATTACTTAACTCTTATTCATTGCCTATATACAGAGAAAAAGAGAGCTGTGTCTTAACATTTTATGAAATTGAACTAATACAGAAATGAGAATTAGATAACTGATGCCATCAGTAAAACTTTCAATTTCTTTTCAGTTTTTTATGAAATATTAAATAGAAAGCTACTGAAGATATGTAGATAGCATAAAGAAATATACTTCTAGATAAAAGTTACAATCTCATTATGATCTTTTAATAAAAAGTAAGGCAGTAGGTCATATTTTGTTTGCAAGTATGAATATTTTCCCCAGAGATTAAATTTTCACCCGTTAGATAACTAAGCATGTGTAATTTTTCCTTATTGAGGAATTTCCTTATTATATATTTACTCTAGAGTTTTTTGGTACTAGACCCAAAGAAAATGCTAATATTTCAAATTCTTTATTAAATTTTAATCATACATACATGACTATATATCTTGCATCATGAGAAGCATAACAGTACTACAAGACATGTTGGAAATACTCACTAGCACTGTCTCAACAGACCTAAATGCAACATTTTGTGTTTTAACACTAGGATTATGGGAATGGTCATTTTGACTGTATCTCCATTTTAATTGGGCAAAACTTTTTAAATTCTTTATTTATAACTTTGATATTCTTTGACTTTTTCTATGAACTTACAAAGATTACATGATATTTTTTTTATTCATTTTAAATAATTATCTTCAACAATATTATTGTTTATACCTAGAATTACGGCTATCGGTCATTTCAACCATATCCAGAAAATTACAGATTTCTTGAATAGAATTGGAAAAATATATTTAACGAAGGATGCTGAAAGTTTTTGAAAGTCTTTCTGATGATAATTCTGCTTCAGAAATTGAACCTGATGAAGAATTTCATACTGAAACTACATCCAGTTTATCCAAGGAGGGCAGGATTATTCCTACTGAAACAAGTGAATCCGGTTCGTCTGATGGAGAACCTGTTCATGAAACAGTAAAGGAAAGTAAAAATTTAGATCAAGATTCCAAAGACTGCAAACTGATCCATTTGCCTTGTTTTGGATATTTGGAATGCTTTTATATAAAACTGCTAGACATGTTATAAACTGGGCAAAAATATAACAGTGGATGAACAATTATTTCTTATGAAAACCCGATGCCGATTTATTCGGTGCATGTCTAAAGCGGCAAACAAATTCGGCATTAAATTTTGGCTAGCTGATGTGCAGTCAAAATATTTACTGAATGGATTTTCCTATTTGGGAAAAGTCAGACCAGCTGGAGAAACTGTACGTGGACATGCAGCTTTTAGCTTGATGGAACCACTGAAATACGAAAAGAAATGAGGAATTCAGGGATAAGCTGTATTGGCACAATAAATTGTTCAAAAAGAGAAGTACTTTATTCTTTCAAAAATACGAGGTATGAGCTTTGTTCTAGTAAGATTGCTAAGCATGACAATATAATGCTTAGATCTTATCAAGGAAAAATAAAAACAAGAATGTCTTGCTCCTGAATACCATGCACCACCTAACAATAGAAACTGCAGCAGATTACAGAACATACACCAAAAATTGTGAATTTTTACAATTTGATCAAATATTGAGTTGATATTTTGGAAGAAATGGCCAGCAAATACTCAGTAAAGTCCTCCTCCAGCAGTTGGCCAGTTCAAATTTTTTTTTGTTTTGTTTTTTTGATATTCTTGATTTGGCCGTGATAAATGCATGGATAATTTATAAGGAAAAAACTGAATATTAGAATATCAGCCATCATGATTTTATTTTGAATATGGCTGAGGAGCTTCGAAAGATGTACATTTCATCCAAAATTCACACACTATCTGTATCTAATGAAAAGAGAAATTGTACTTGCGTCAACCCTTCCCGTAAGCATAAGCAATGCCAAATAAATGCATGTAGAAGCAATAAAACTTTGAATATGTGTCATATGTTTGTGGAACCTGTACAGGTAAAATTAAAACATTAGTAATCTGTTTGCACTGCAAAATCGAGTAATGTAAGTACTAATATGAGTAATTTTTAATATATTTATTTTATACTAAAAATTTTTATAAGCAATTTATTAAATGATAAAAAGTTAAAAAATATCTTTTTTTTTTTTTTTTTCTCTTTTTAGCTCTGTTATATTAAATTATCGTTCAATTAATAAATTTACTCGCTTATTTTACTGTGAGTAAATTTATTAATCGAATTATTATTTTACTCTTGATTACATTAAATTATCTTTTCACTGCATGTATTTACTCAATTTATTTTATCTACTTTTTAAACAAGCAAAATGTATCGTTGTAAGCATTAACTTTATATAATATTAGCAAAAAGCGAGCCTTTTCTTCTATTTGGAACAAGTGGTCAAAATGAGCGCTGATCATAGTTATAGGAATACGACATAATGCTAGTGTTAAATGTAAACTGATGCTTCTGAATGTGATGTCATGATTAGACACTAATCACTTTTATTTGAATCTTGTTTTACAGTTCCTGTTCCATGATTTGTTAGCATAAGGTTTTTTTTATTAAAGCATCTCACAGAAAAAAAAAATCTATTGGCTTTATATCAGATCTTGGCAGCCTTAAAAATATACTGATGCTCCAGAAAGTTTTTAAATTTATTTATGCAGTCGATCAATCAGTGTCCTGATGATGTCAGTACTCTTTCCCTTTATCCATCCTTTTTTTCTTAATTAAAAAAATATATATATATTATCCGTTCCTTTTGACATCTATTAAACAGATATATGTTTCCCCAACTTGCTGAATACTAGCATTTTCTCAGGTCTACTACTGAAAAAATAATCCTATATTAGAGAATACAAAAGTTGTTCAGAATCATTAGTGTCTACATTCTTCTCATTATCTGAATCTCCATTTCTTTTTCAATTATATCCTTTTGAATCTTCTAAAACTTCTTCATTATTTATATATTTTAAACTATCCAGATCCTATCCATATAGCATTTGGGTTTCTTTCTAGAAACTAAGAATGTGAAGCAGAGTTGTGTTAGAAGGTATATAACAGCTAAATTAGATTACTGGTTTAGCTTTAAATATGCAAAACTATATTTAAGGCATTTTTATACACTCTAGAGCAGGCTTGTTCAACATAGTGCAACAATATGACCTATCAAAAGATTTATTCCAGACCACGTACTACTGTTTGAATTTTTTGCCCACTAACAGTTGAATGGTAATGTCGCTGAGCACTATAGTTCGAGTCAGGTTCAATTCTAGGCTGCATATGCATTTCCATGATTTTCCCCATATGTGATGTGGATATAAGCCAATATCTCTTAAAAAGGCCTTCATAAAAGCATTCCTTAGGCAGATAGCCCTAGCGTATTTTGCCATAATCAAATAAACCAAGGCAAACTACTTGAATTTAAAAAAAAAAAAAAAAAAAAATGAAACAAGACAGAAAATTTAACATTAAAAATAAAATTCTTGTTTTTATTTTACTCATTGCAGAAAATATGGTTATAAATTACTGTTATATTTGTAATATCTAATTTCGTATAATATTTTTATTTTTGCTACCATTTTTTTATGAAATGTGTCAACCTCTGGCCTATGAATTCACTTTCAAATTTTTTTTGGCCTTTCACATAAAAAATTTGGACGGTCCTGCTCTAGAATTAAAAGTAAAAATTTCATCAAGAAATATTTAGGGGAAAAAATAACAGTTGTGCTTTTTTCGTATGTAAACATGAAGGAATTATAAGTGTAAGTTATGTATATTAGCAAAAGAAATTGATTCAAATTGTGCAGTTTTTTATATAAAAAAGCACTAACAATAGTTTTGTAAAAAATTAAATTTGCCTGCTGTTTTATGTACTTTGAAGAGAAAGTTTTTAAAAATGAGTTAAGAGAGTGGAAAATTGCAATATATCAATTGTCAGGTTATTCTTTGAAAGATGACCATATTTCTTATAAACTTGGCTATAAGAAGCACTACTGGCAACCATTTTTAATAGCTGTGATTCACTGCACTCATAATGAAAAAGAAGCTGTAGAAGAATATGCAAGAATTAAAAGTACCAAGACTTTTTTCCACTACAGATATTTTTGTGTAATTCGTGCTTTCCTATAGTCAAGTTTGACTTATAAATTCTTGATAAATTCTTTTAGAAAAATCATAAATGTGTTTATTACTGCAAGACAGCTAGCTATCATCTTTCCACAAATCCCTATTTGTACTTGACAATATCAGATCCTTAACATGGAACCAAAATTCCATAATCTTTAAAAAATTAATTTTAAAGTTTAAATATCTCTATTAGGAATATTAACTAGGAAATCTGGAATGATATATGAAAAATGTATCAATAAATATACAAAAGCTTTAAATGTGAAAGACTGGTTACAATGTCTGTTTCAGACAACATTAAAAAACTTAAGTCCTTTAAAATACATACAGTACAAAACAATTTTTTTTTACAATATATCACATTTTATAAATTAAAAAAAGCCTACTTGCATAAGAAATTGCTAGAATGTGCTACCATATATAGTGTTCTGAACACTATATATAGTGTTAATGGTATGGGCACTAGGCATGGAATGCTTTAGGTGGCTTTGAACCCACTGGTCTGGTCCTCTTCCGACTTTCCGGATGTATGGAATTGGAACAGGGTAGAACAATATGGTTTGGTACAGAGAAGTGGTTGTATTTTCTTTTTAATCCAAATGGTATACCCGGTATTCTGAAAGATTCTTCAGGTTCTTCGACACAAAATACTGCTGTGGCTGACACGCCAGCCTTTGGAGAGTGTTCTCTCCAGGTCTTTGGAACATTATTGCAACCTTTAAGCATCCATAAATCATGATCTTCAGAAAGCCTGCGTTGAAGTTTAGTCATCCTCTGCATTGACTTCAACTCATCTTCTGAGCAACACCGAGTTAGTGGATCATGAGAAATGTGTTTGATCTTTTCATTATCTTGCATGCTGCAGCTTCTACGAAAAGAGACAATACCATCTTTAATCTGACAACCATTTCGGGGGGCATATGCCCACAGTTCTCCATTAATTAATGGATCACTTCGATCAGTACTCTCAATCTCTTGAGAGTCTGAAGCATTGTAATTACTTTCACAACCATCTGGAGATGAATTTGGTATTATACAGACTTCATGCACCCTATTATCATCATCAATTATAACATTATTATTATCCTCTTCAACTTCTTCTGACTGATCTTTTGACAAGAATAAATTACTCAGACTTCCACTGTCCTCACGGTTACCCAGACCATTACCAGTATTCGGTTCTATCTGTACTGTGCAAGTTGTAGATGTTGCAGGTTGATCCTCTTCACTTTCATCTAAAGTGTGCAGTGACTGCTCAGAAACAGATCTATGTTTCCAACTGACTATTGCAGATCCAGATGAGATTTCAGACTCAAATATTGGTGAAAGCAATGGTGCAGGTGATGGACTTCTGTGATGCCGTCTTCCCAGGCCTATTTAACAAAAGGAAATATTGGTATAAATTATTTCACAATGTAAATTAATTTCAAAACAATATGAAACAATACGAATAATATGAATAATACGAATAATGCCTCTTTTGAAAAGGCTAATATGCTATTTAAAAAACTACATAATTTTTTATTTTATAAGAATATATTTAACCTTTGCCTTTATTTATGCATTAAAGCATATAATAATATAGAACATGTCTTTAACAATTATATTCAAATGTTTTTTAAGATGTTGTAATACCAAGATTTACCAACATTTATCAATCAACACAGATATGATTTAATTTTTATAATAGCAGTACAGCCTGCCCAGCTTAACAGCTGTAATAATGGGAACCATGAGAGGTTATAAATAATTGCTGTAGTCAAAATCTGTGTATGAATAGTAGTGTCATCTGTTGCTATTAACGAAAAACCTGAAACCGTGTCATAAGCACATATAAAGGAACAATAAACAACCACGACAGAATGGACTCCACAATATAAGTCTGTGTATTATTATTTACTAATTGAAGTGCATCACGCATTTCACTGTGAGTATAAAATGGGATGCCATGACAAGGTACCAATGTACATCAGTATTGTGTGACATGGAACAAAAAGTTGTAAGAAACCAGCAGTGTTGCATCCACATGCGGAAAGCATTCAAAAAGGACGGTGTCCCAGGAGAATGTGAAAGACCGGTATGATATGAAAACCAAAAGAAATAAATAATTAAGTCAAGAAATAAATAATATCACACCTATAAGGCTAACACCTGGGTGAAACTGGAGTATCTGCTGTGAGACTGCCCACATAGAAGGGTCTCTCATTTTGTGATGTGTAATGGCAAGGTATTGTATATAAGGCTATGCCTTCATTCCCAATAAATTCTTGGTCAAACAGATTTTGCGAACACTTATATGAGGCAGCACCTTGTATTACAATGGATTATAAAAATATATGTGTAGGACTTTATGATACTAGAGCACCAGGAGTTGAGCTTTTAATGTAATTTCCAGTTTCTCAGCTCTTTTATTAGATTTATAATCAACATTAATATATTACATATGCAGTTTTGTTTATGCACAATTTATTTCTAGTAACTAAATACTACTCATTATCTTTTTCTAGCAATGGTGCATTTTTTATTTCAAGCAAAAAAAAAAAAAAAAAGTACCTTCCAGTCAACATTAAGATATGAGAGAGTGTTTTAATGAAACACACAAAAGATATGCAATTAGTAAATGAAATCAAAAGTTGCTGAATAAAATTATGACAAGGTACATAATGCAATCATTTATGACATTTAGCAATTTTAATGAATCATGTCATTTATTATACTACGATACAAAGTCTGAGATCCAGACCTTAAAGCCACCAACAAAAATTTTTTTAGGATTTTTTTTAATGCTTTACACATGTGCATTTGATTTTTTCCCCATAAGAAAATATATGGAGAATTCCCAATGCTTAATTTCACTTCAGCACTAAATAAAATACCTCGTTATTGAAGAAACAATCATTTTGGGTGAAGTTTGTGTGATCAATAATTCGGCTCTGTAGCTACGTATCTGCTTGGCATACATCTCAAGCCGAAACATTTTAAATAGAAACATCATTGATTTTACAACTACTAATATTTTATATCCCTGACACCAACCTGGCAAATCATTATTTATTATATTTTGCTTTCATCACTGTATGTTTATCAACACATGACAACTTGAGTAATGACATGCAGCAATGCCTAAACAGTTAATTTTTTATATTAGTAATTGAATAACAAAGAGTATGGAAACTTTTTATGTTGACATTATGCTTGGTGATGATTACAGATTTAAGTTAAATGCGCTAAATTCTGGGGAAGAAAAATTTAACAAAAATTTCTTTCCATATGGTAAACATAGATATTGTTAGTTATACTCATAGACCAAAAGATTACATTTAATGCTATCTGAATTAAGAATAAATGATTTTTTATTCATATAAACCCAGAACCGGTGCCAGAACTCGTATGGCCACACAGGGCAGCAGACTTTACAAAAGACAAAATTTTGGGAATTTAGAGAAGCACCGAGTAACAAAATTAAGGATGATAAAATTTTTAGAATTTAGGGAAAGCACTGGGATCCAAAATTAATAGGCGGCAAAAATTTAAAACTTAGAGAGGCACTTGATAGCAGAATGCAGGATCCACAGAGACTGCATCAGGCGGCAAAATATCTAGCAGGAGCCCTCAGCTTAAGTATATGTCAAAATTTATTTATTCAGGACTCGGATATGCCTTAAGCATGTGCAAGACTTAAACATAAGTATAATAAATAACTAAATTAATACAATTCAGGCTTAACTGCCTCAGTGCATGACAGAAGGAGGACAAAATTTAACGGAACATTTTGTCTTTCGTCAATAATAATGTATAGCAGACACTATTAAGCTAGGCTACTTTACCGATTCCAAAAAATTTCAGTTAATACAGCAGATTGTGCTCTTCCTTAACTTTTCGATTTGATCCAGCTTATTATATTTTTGCAGGCTGTTATAATTCCAGCAATTTTATGAAAACTAAAGTTTGAACTTTCGATTATGTTGAAAAGAAGTTTCTAATTCTGGAGCTGCAACAGAATCTACAAAGCGAAAGCATGTTTTGATGTCCATTAAACAAAAAGTGGAATTTCTGCAAAAAATGGTTACAGATATATCAGTCTCAAAATTATGCGAGGAGTATGGCACTGGAAAGTCAACTGTATATGGCATAACAGAAAAAGGATTTTTATGAATTTTTTGTGGATTCCGACACTCCACTCGCAATGAATAACAAAAAAATTATTTGCTATGCTAAAAATGCCAATCATGACAAAGTGATGACTGAATGGTCAGCCAGAGATGCAGCAAAAGCGTGCCATTGATGGGTCCAATGCTAATGGCTCAAGCCAAACTATTTCATGAAGAAATGAACTTAAAAACTAAATGCACACATTGAACAAAGCGGTTAACCACTTTGTTCAATTTAAAATCGCCATGATATAATGCAATTTAAAATTTCAGATGAAAAAGCTTCATCTGATACTGAAGCTGCTGAACTATTTATAGATGAGTTCACTATTAAGTGAAATGTGATCTCCAGGACAAAATTACTATGCTGATGAATCTAGTCTTTTTTGGCAATATATAATACGAAATACCTTGGCAAACTCTACAGAAAAGGCTCCATCTGGTGTCAAAGATTCCAAAGCTAGACCAATAATTTTAGCATGTGCAAATGCTGCAGTAAAACACAAGTGTAAAATTTTTGTAATCGGAAAAAAGACACCACCTCGTGAATTTAAAGGAGTAAAGGTTTTCCGTTATATATCATGCAAATAAAAGAGCACGGAAGACACAAGTGTTGATGTATGATTAATGTGAAAATTATTTCATACCCGAGGCTCAGCAAAATTTGAATTTGATTGGTTTACTTGATGATGCAAAAATTGTTCTGATTGTAGATAACTGTTCGGCTCCTACTTCACTTAAAGTTTTAATGAAAGATAACGTATCCGTATTATTCTTTCTTCCAAACTATAGATCCAAAATCTGCTGTGAGGAGCATCACGAGATTGTGGGAGAATGTGCCTCTAGATACTTTAAAAAATGCTTAGCATATTTTATGGCCAGCTACCATATTTCATGGTAAGGATAATGAACATGACAGCCACTAATTTGAAGGCTTTTGGATATTGCAAATAATAGGTGAAATTTTCCAGTGATTTTGTAAAGAAATGAGGAGAAAAGGTAATAAATTAAGATGATATAACAGAAGATTTTCATTGCAATGACAATGCTCCAATCATCAGTCAATTAATGGACGGCGAAATCTGTAGTATAGTTCTAGATCCAGAAAATACCACTACCAATAGTGAAGAAAGTGACAGGAGGTTATTGAAAACGAAAAATTTTCGATTGACAAGTTAATCAGAATTAGGTCTTGAACAATGGAACTTTGTAACTGAAAAAAAAATTATGTCTGTATATAGAATTGATGAGAGAGTATTAGCACAAAAAACAAAGCAACTTAAACAATTTTCATTCAAAGAAATGTTTAATAAAGTAAACAAATAAGTATTAAACTTTTTTTTGTAAATTTTAATATCCTTTAGATCATAAATGCTTGATTATTTCATATATCACGATTTCATATTCTTAATTTCATAATTTATACATGCCATCGCAATAGATTTAAATTGACGATCTAATGTCCGGAAAAATCCCAAATCCATAATCGCCAAAGTCCCGATCTTGGACTTTGTACTATACAATAATAATTACCACTTTGCACCATTTACCATAGTATCTTTTTGCACTGTTACATTTTAACACAGAATTTTATTTAGAGAATGGTCACATCTAAGTAAAACACACTTCTTTTCCCCCCAATCTATTAAATGTTTTATTCAATGACAAAATTTTGATTAAACTTCTTTTATGATGTAATAAAAGCATTTTGAGATATATTTTTACCATGGCTATATGAATGACTCTGGGATGTCACTGAATTTGACTCCTGGTCATCACCCTCATTAATGCTTTCGATATCTTTATCTTCATTTTGATGAAATACAGTTTCTTTCTTTGGATTCTCCTAGAATGTAAAAAATTTATTAACATGTAAACTAAAAATTATAGTATAAACCTCACTATATATATAAAAAAAAAAAAAAAATTAGGAGTATCCAAGTAACAGAATATTTTTAATCAATGTTCATTTATTTTCTTTCTAATTTAGTTAACTGTTTTCTGAAGAATGAAAGAAAGAGTATACAAGATCCAACATTAAGTTTATAATTTTTGAAACATATTCTAAAATTCAGAAAAACTGTTTTTTGAAGAATGGAAGAAAGAGTATGCAAAATCCAAAATTAAGTTTATAATTTTGGAAACAGTTTCTAAAATTATATAACTTTTCTCAAATTTGAAATTTTTCATAAAATTCAAGGTTAATTAAGTGATATGCCATTTCAGTATTTTTAAGAGTATTCAGTATATCTTAAAAGTTCAGAAAGATACAAATAAAGTTTAATAATAAATGGAAGATTTGAAACTTTGCTTGACACTGACTTTTGAAAGACTTCCTTTTTCATAAATAAATCATTCAGTGATACAAGCAATAATTCAAATAATATAAGTAAATGATAAAATTGATATTTAGTATCACATATTTTCAAAAATTGAAAAAGGAAACAAATTTATAAATTATACAGATAGTGAAGCTGGAATTAATATTATTAAAAAGAACTGAGAAAGTTGGTAAATATGGAAGGCAGGAAAATTAATTCACCAGCTCACCTGATTAGGGGGAAAGAGAGGGAAAAAAAGAATTGTTGACTAGAAATGCTGCTGCATAATTTTATGAACTTGTCCTTTACTGAAACAGATCAATATTCTTTATTATGAAATTTTATCTATGTGGTAGAAATTAACCCTGCAATGGAGGAGCCGGCGTACAGAGTACGCCAATGCCATCTTTTGGGCTGTAATTTTCAGACAACTCCTTCCTGAGCTTCCTCCCTTCCTCTACCCTTCTAGAAACATTCTATGAGTGCAATGCATCGGGTATTTCTGGTTAGTCTTGCTTTTGCTTTCCTTCCGAAAGCAGTTATTGTGAACATGTCGCGTAGGCGAATGCAGATCATTTGCGCGTTATAGAAGCGGTTGATGAAGTCTCGGTTGATGAAGACACCGACAATTTGGATAACGCAAATGATGTCGATGAATCAGAAGTCATCGAACATTCTGATCATGAAAGTGATTCAGAAATTGAGGGAAATGTTTTCTAAACATCCTCATTTTCCTTCCTCAAATGATGTTTCCCCAACAAATGACGATTTTAGTGATGATGAAAATGACATGAGTGATATAAATATGAGGACTTTTTGTAAACAAAATTTACAAAAAGAAGAAAGTTGGAGGAAAGTTTCTGAAAGAAGAAAAGGAAACTTATAAATGGAATAAAGTTCCCCTCAAGAGTAAATTCGCCAGAACGCCTCGAAAACATTTAATGAAAAAAATATTCCCAAGTGCCAAAACTTGTGAGGATATAAATGATGAGCTTTCTGATTTCCAGAAAATCATAAATACAAATATGATTGATGCCATTGTACAATATACAAATATTTATCTCAAATGTAACAGGACTGCAGACGATCTCCAAAACATCTCAAAGAGAAGCATGTATGATACATGATTAACTGTCTCCCGAAAAACCAAGAGGTGGTCAATGGCAATATTTTTTGCACTGCTAAACGTAGCGGGCATAAATTCGCAAGTGCTCTTGAACTTCGCCAAACCTGATGCAACCATCAAGTTTAGAAGATATTTTTTGAAAAATCTAGCTACATCTTTGATGAAACCACATCTTCAGAATCGCCTGAAAATGCCATTTCTCCTGTCGCATTCCAAAGCTATTATTAGAAGGCTGGTAACAACAAGAGAGGACAAGATGGCCGAAAGGCGCGAAGAACCACCTGCAAAAAAGATCAAAGGACGCTGCGCTGAGTGCGGTAGAATGAAGAATGATTACACTACCATAAAATGTTCTGAGTGTTCTAAGTTTACCTGCAAAAATTATCTGGGCAAGACAGTACAACTTTGCAAATCCTACTGCAGTGAACAGGGACAATCTGAATAAAGTAGCAAAAGGTTTTTTAATATTTTCATTTGTGAAATTTATTACTTACCGAACTTTACTTTACGGAATATTTATAATTTGAAAATTTGATTTATGATCTTATAATTTTCATACATAAAATAATACAGAATACTCTATAACTTTAAACTACATTTCCAGTGCATTCCATTTTCTGAATTAATAAAAAATTCTTAATTTCCATCTTTATTGCTTTTTTCTGTTATTCTTTTTCTTATATCATATTTACTATGACGATTCACCTTATTAATGCCACGTATAAGATTAAATAGTTTTAAACATGAAGCAGAGGCTCGAAAAACCACCTGGTGTACTTCATACGCTGCCCCTCTAAAATTGTACCATGTACCAGCCCCTCCAACTGAGGGTTAACAGAGAAAAACTGTAATAAATTCACCAAGAATTCAGCCTTCATGGATTTAAGGGTAGAACACTTGCAGATTTCATTAATATATATTTAGTAAATTTAAAAATGGGGTAATGATTAAAACCAATCTCTATTTACAGATGCTTATGTTTATTTTATTTTATTAGGGGCAATCGAAATTTTGATGCAGCAAAGCTATCATTATTCTCCTTTTTATCTGAGAGTTGTCCATTCATTGTTCTCCAGAAGAAGTTCCAAGAGCTCTCCAATTTCTAAAATTTGGTTATAGGATACTTACATATTTTCTCACTGATAACTTTGACAAGCAGAAACTGTTTCCAAACAGTATGATTTAGCATTAATAATGGATGAACATATTATCATGGCCTCACTCATCAACACTAAAGACTGGCATTCAGTGAACTGATGCAATTAAAAACACTGCAATATTATGCAACACTACTTAGATTTTAAGTAATTTACATGGCATCAAATTCAAAGAGATGACTATTTTGTTACTATTTTAAATGCACTAGGGATTTTGGGATGCTAGAATGACTGATGCAAATTATTATAAATTTGTCAGTCAGACAATCCCAAAGCTTGAGTTTATTTAAGTTTTTTTTAATATGCTACATGCGACTGTTAAATTAAAAAAAATACTTGTAATTATATAACAAAGTAAACAGCCATCTGTTTCTTCAAAATTCCACTGAAGTGATTTATACTAGTTTGGTGGAATCCCTGTGAAATCAGCAGAAAATATTTAAATGTAATTTTTATATTGTTTTTAGTAGGTGTATTATTATAAATATGTTATTTATAACGGAAAAGAAGGAGTATTTTGTTTGAAAAAGCAAATCACAAATGAACTGGCTAAATGAAAGCATATTCCCCCACCACCACCCTTTCACCAATACAAATTTTAGCATTCAGATTCCTAATGCCAGAAACAGAATTTATCTATAATTATATATCCTTTTAGATAGGAAAGGGAAACACTTATTTAAAAGGATATGTCTGAACATCTGGGTCCTTGATAACATAACCAGAAAAAATAAGATAGTTATGTCCATACTAGTGTATACTAACTAGTACAGTGAATGTCTTACATCTATTCATGCACCATAAATCTTCAAATATACCACAAATGGAAGGCTAACATGGACACAATTCCCTTACATCATCTAAAGATACGCTAACATGGTAGTGTATGTCACTGTGCAATTCCTACCAAAATTGACAAGAAACACGATATCTGCACAAAACATCAAAGTCTGTATTACATGTAGTGCCTTACTTTGAAAAATACCATAGTTTGAATAAATGCTAACTTTATGCAAGAATTACAATTTTTATTTTGAGTTATTACTTTTTTATGTCTGTACAGAAAAATAAGTTTTAAATACTTATAAGGATTATTAGTATTTACAATAGTTTATATTTTTTAAAAACCCTAGAAAGTAGGACAAAGGAGCACCACTGCCATGATAAGTGTGTTAAGTAAGTGACTGCAATTCAACAAACACTAAGTATAAACTTACTAAACAGTCACATAGACACACACACACACACAGAAAAAAAAAAAAAAAAAAAAACCTACATTTTGGGGATATTACTAATATTTACGCAATGACGTTTTATAAAATTACACCATTATCATCAGACATGTACTGAAATAAAACTCAAAACTATTTGATATTATTATAGTTTCTGTTGTTTATTTTAGAAAAAAAGAAAAATATGAATATTAGGATTAAATGTATTTATTAAAGAGGAATAGACACACAAAAAATTCAGATAAGATGAAAATTTTCTGTAGTTTAGTAACAATAAAATATATTTAGATATGGTTAAATAGAATACATAAGTAACACTTTACCTCTTTTTTCTTTTCTTTTGTTTTAGCACTTGGTAACTTCTGTCGTACATTTAGAGGCTCTAAATAATGTCGTCTGCGGTGTGGACTACCTATATATACATTTCCAACATAGCTTTCCAAAGGACACTCATCTTCATTAGCTGCTGCACATTTATTTTCTGTGACTACAGGTAATGTCGGCTTGTTTCCATTGGGTCTACTGTGGATGGAAAATTAACAATACAAACATTATACATAATACAAATCAATATACATAATATAAAATCATAAAATAATCTGCTTAAGGATTAGAAACCAATAACAATTTAATCTTTTTATGTAAGATAAAAAACAAAAATGCTTGGTAAAATAATAAGATCTAATTATTAGGTTGATTTAAAAAAAAAGGATTAACAGCATGATTTAGTAGTAGTAAATTTTTTACTGTTGCAACACACCACTGTGTGCTTTCTACTACACCTTTTATTAACAGTCATGTCAGATTGAGTTTCAGTAAGCTAAGAATAATAGTATTTGGTTCAAATTCTTTTATTGCAACTATATGTCAGTTGTACTGTAATTTTGTTATCAATCTCAAAACATGAACAAGTAGTTAATATCAAATTGCATGTGTTACTTGGAGAATTAGCTACACAGAATCTTTAAATTCTTGATCTACATGGAAAAGAAGCCATACGACAAACTCAGTATTCTGAGAATGACATTCTTTCAAAAACAACCAGATACTAAATGTTCAACTATGAGAATATCAGATTAAAGGAAATAAAAATTAAATCAAATTGTACATTCTGATGATTAAATTAATATCTAAGAAATCACATATCATTGTTGAGAAATTTTGGTAAGTAATTCAACTTTAATACAAGGCCTATTTAAACATACAACATTTTGCTCCCAAAGCTGTCCATTGGCTACTGACCTCAAAGAATAACACATGGACATATATACAAAGACTATTTTTAAAAAAAAAGATCGACGAAAATTAAGAATGCAACAAAGAATATAATGTTAATTCATTTCAACATGGGCACTGCAATTTTATTGAGATGCTCTAATTTGAAGTGGGAAGATGCTGCAACAAAAGACTGCAATGGTATGCAACAAAAATGTTGGTAAAATGGAATGCAACAAAAGGCTGTGTAATGGTAACTCATTGCTTAACACAATAATGCAACAAGCCAATTTTCTTAAAATGCATTAGTTTTAGGTGTTCATTCTGCATAAGATTTAGAATCTATTGACTTCTTTATTACTGAAACTTAAATTCAAACTAAAGATTCACTGTTTTGACTTCATGCAATCATACACATTATTGTTCTGTTTATGATTTCAAAATGAGCACAAAAGTCATGTCTGAAAATAACTGAAATAGAAACGGATATTTTTTTTTATGAACCAATATTTCAAACTGAAAAAAAAAAATTTTTTTTTCATACAGAAAATATCATAAAGTTTAAAAATTAATTTTTAACCAAATGACTACACAAGTATTATTACATTTTTTAAACAAAAGGAAAGACAAAAGTTTACACATACGAGATTTCTGAAAATTTGGATAAATCTTCTGTCATAGTAACATTTAAAGAAACTTAGCATATTTGCTTATACATTCAATCAAATTATAAGACTTTCTGACATTACTATATAATGTCATGAAAATAAAAAATACACAGAATAAGCAGCAATAGTGGCTTTAACCTGATGTTAACTCTGCCTACATTTAAATGATAGAACTGACATAATGGATTTTCAGACAGTAAAGACAAGATAATTTTGGCTTAATAATAAGATCTAATTAATTATAGGAAGTTATATGTGGTAGCCAATCTCTAATCCAAAATCTCCAATTTTTATGTAAATAATACATTTCAAATTCAACTGAAAAACTTAAAAGTTTTTTCATATGAGACACTTTAATATTGCGAACATGGAACTATGTGAATTTTAATTTAAACAAATATACACATTAAAAATGCATACCAACATATAATAATCATTTAAAATTTTATAAACTTTTTATAAGGGATTTCTAGTATCCTATGTTGAAGGTAATGGAGTTTGTAAAACTGTATGAAATTTAATTTTAAACTGGGATGCTGACAATATAGATAATATCACAATATCACAAGTAAAATTACAAAGTTAAATTAAAACTGAAAGTAAATAACATAAAACTTACTTATGCTGAACATTAGCTTGCATTTCCCATTCCTCTACTTCCTCAGCTTTTGCCTCACTTTCTTGAGATTTTGGGGATATTTGATTAACCTATGGTGACAAAGATAAATAAAAAACAAAATAATAAAATTAACAAGCAAAAGCAAATTAAAACTCAGCAATTTGCATAACTGAAATTTATTAATGTAATCAGCAAATGCATTGATTTATTTAAAATTTACAAATATTTAAATTTTCTCAAACACAGAGAATAAAAGCAAGTTCATTAAATATTTTCCCTCAAATACAGACCCTAACAAATCACTGAAACAACAAGACCTCAAATACAGTTCAAAGTAAAATCATTGAAAGTAATTTAAAGATAATACAACACTGCATGCATAAAGAATATAATATAAAAACAGAATACTATTTCTTATATTTTTATTGAAAATATCGATATCAAGAATACCAGATAAAGTAATAATAATAAAAAGATTATCAGCAGAAACACAATGATAACACATTCCCCAAATAATGGAACATCAGTTTTATGTATGAAATTCATACCATTTCACCTCCTTCTCTATTAATATTTGTGGTTTCTCAAGCCTAGTACTATTTTCTACTGCAAACTCTGATATTTAAAATGATTTTAAACTTAAAATAATTCATATTTCCTCCCTCCCCCAAAAAATGGTGAATCTTTTAATACTGATTACCAAATTTAAAAGAAACACTTATAATAATTCCATTTAGAATTTAATTTCTTGTTAATCATCTAAAAGTCAGTAAAATTTTCTAAGCTTGAACATAAATTTTATAAAAAATTTTTTTATTCACATAGTATATTGGAAGCCATTATAACATTAATTATTCACCAATATAAGTTAATTGACAACAGAAAGTTCATGAAATACTTTGTGCAACTAACTGATTATAATTTGTTAATAGTTAAACATTAAATCTGCATTTCAATTATGATTAACCTGCGAAAACATAAATGCTGATAAACAATCAGGCATCAATATTTTATATGATAGTGGTCTCAAACTTGTGACCCCTGAAGCAAATTTATGAGGCCGAGAATACATTTCAGTTATATATTTGTTGTAAATACAATGTTGCAAAAATTTCAAGATTTTAGTTATTGGAAATTTGATTATCTTATATTTGTACCTGTCAAAAGATAAACATGCTCAATTATGAATTTTTACACTAAGAAGAATCGGTTTATTAGAGAATACATTTATATGTGAACAGTTTTTTTTTTTTTTTCCACAATTGAAAATTAAGGAGAAAAAACCAGTTTGACCGATGAGCCTCTACAATCTGCAATGAAGATAATTTGTAATAGTTTTCCCCCCTACGTTAAGTGTTAAGCTGTAGTAGGAAATTAAGAAGTTTATTTGTACAGTCAAAAGTCGTTAATCCGGACTCGTCGTGACTTTGGCGATTCCAGATTATCAATTTTTCTGGATTATAGATCATCAGTTTAAATCTGGTAAGACGGCATGCAGAAATTATAAATATGAAACTGTAATTTATGAAATAAAGAGCAATTATGATCTAAAGGGTATCAAAATTTACAAAAAAAAAATCTTAATATTTATTTGTTTACTTTATTAAACATTTCTTTCAACGCACGCATGCGTAAAGCATACATTACGCATAGTCGAAATTACAAAATTGCAACCAGAAAACTATTTGATGTGTATTTGTGATATTTATAATGAATTTAATTTAACCATTTTTTGCAGCAATTCCACTTTCTGTTTAATGGACTTCAAAACATACTTTCGCTTTGTAGATCCTTTACATATTAGTAAATATATATCAGAAATTCTATTCAACATAATTGAAAGTTCAAGCTTACTTTTATACAATTGCTCTAACAGTCTGCAAAAAATAATAAGCCGGATCCAATTCGAAGATTAAGGAACAACGCAATCTGCCACATTAACTGAATTAGATAATTTTAGTTTAGCTTATACCATCCGTTATACATTAAACGCGCATGTGTAAACGTATTATGCGCATGCGCACACGCATATTTGCAGCCCTAAAGGTCTTACGCGAACGCTTAAACGCCTATGCGCGATGCACGCGCAGAAAGTTTGTAGCTTTGAGGTCCGGATTATGGGTGTCCGAATTAACGACTTTTGACTGTATTTATTTATATATATATTTTTATTTATATGTAAAAGAAACATTTGATGAAATAGAGAAAGAAATGATACTGTCATTATTTATTCCTAAGTTCTATCTCACATGGAAAGTTTTATCTAAAAATTTAAAACACTTCCATAATTCCTTTATTTATAGTGTAAAGTTATTTAATGATTAATTAACATATTGAAATTATTTGAAATAAAAGTCAGTCTGAAAATATAATACTCAGCTGTTACATATATTTGAATTTACACAGGGCTGTGCAGTCAAATCACTTTAAGTTATTAAATAATACTCAAAATTTCAGCTACACACTAAGAATATGAGCCTTTGATTAGGAATATCAATAATTAATTTGTTTAAGCTTAGTTTCCTTTATTTTTGAAAAGACAGATATTTGGGCTTTTAGTTTTAGCTTAATTAAGTTAAAAAAGATGTGTCTTAAGTAATTTTTTAGTATTATTGCAATTTGAAAATACTACAAATTACTGATTTATCTATTTGAAATTTATACACAGTCTACAGAAAGATTTTGCCTTTCTGGTGAACTTATATTTGTTAATTTAGGCTAATTAATTGATAAATTATTTGGAAATAAATTTATATTTTCATTAGAAATGGCAAGGCTTCAGGCTTCAAAACCCAACATTTGAATACCGTTTAAGGTTCAAAGTTGGGGGATTATGACATCTGATTTAAAGGGTACTTACTCTCTACTCATTTTTGCAGGGTAATTTTTTTTAAACATTGTTGGCATCAAGGACAGAAGGTGTTGAATTGATGGAATGAAAAAGAAGAAATGTTTGTATTGTTTTGTTCTTTGTGTGGGTGCTAAAATTTCTCAACCTGTTTGGGCAATGTATGAAATGTAGCACTTTTAAACTTTAAAAGCTGGGTGCACACTCGAAAGAGCAGATTTTCAACTAATTTGCACAGTTAAAATAATTTTTGATTCTTGAAAACATACCTTATCTTACGTACAGCTAAGGGTTAACTTTAGCCCTGCTATATTATGATGTCGGCACCAACCAACTAAAGCTGACATCTCCAGGTAATACTTCTCCCATGCTGTTTGCCATGGTTTCAGCCAAGGACTTCTAAAAGATCACATTCCTGAGTTAAGATTTTATTATCTAGCACTACAGCCATACTCCAGTGTTTAGGCCTAATCGTTGGCCCATGAACTGCAGATATGTTACAACTGCCTCATACAAAAACACAAGATGAGTGGAGGCCCTTTTCACTGAAAAAATTTCACTCCGCTTGGCGTTGAGAGCAAAATTATAAGATTAACATGTACTGGAGATAAACACTTCACTACTAGTCAACATTATCTGAAGATCAATTACACAGTTTTCCATAAATTCCTTTTATTTAAATCCACCATCCTGTCAATTATTTAAGATCTCTAGACTTCTTGTCTCATTGTATCAGCTGTCAGTACATTTCTTGAGCTTTTCTAAATTAAAATATGTAGTTTTCTAAAATAATAGTTTTTCATCCATCAGTAAGTGATAGTTTTCATGCAAATAATAGCTTTTCAATGCAATATTTATTAAATATATCTCCCGGGAAGTTTCTATTTGGAAATCTGTTTAACCCTTTAAAGGGCACTGGTATATAAAGTATAAAATCGGTTGTTTGTCTAATTTTTCAACGTCCTAAAAAATGATAATTTTTCTACACCAAAAGCTGCAATCATAAGTTTTTCGTGTTTCCTTTTGATTCTAAATGGCAGCACTACCCTATGAATGCTCAATATTTTGCAGTTTTGAAATTAATATAGTACCTCATTCCAATAAAGTCTATTGGAGGAAAAGAAAAAAAATCAAAATCTGTAAATATATGATGTGCACATGCTGAATCTTATATATTTACAGCATTTTAGTCAAACCTGGTTATTAAAAGATTATTTATATGATTTTAAAACAAGTATATAAAATATACCGGCACTCATACTGAGGGTACTATGCCAATAGATGGCAGCACCAGGCTTTTCCTTCTCTACTCTGTCAAATGACAGAATTTCTCATTTGTCTCTGTTTAGCTAAAATTTTAGTTTCACCACTTCACCCTTTCCCTGGATAAAGACTTATCAATTTCAAAATTGTCATCTAGGATCAAAATGTTACACAGTTGTAGGGGCTAAATGTGGCATGTTAGAACCAAAAGACACCCGTTAATTCGTATTTTCAAAAATCTTAGAATGCAGTGAAAATAGTAAGATGTGATTGACAGCTAATTTGTAATGCTATCTCCACAAAGAGGTTGCAATAATATCACAAAAAAGCAAAGCTCACTTACAAATATGTGAAACAGAAATGCACTTAAGGTCCATCTCTTAGTGGAATGAAAAAACTGCTGATTTGAAAGCATGCTTTTATGCTTTAGGGTATTGTCTTCATTAATTTCAGATCAGAAGCTAGAAAACACAAGAGAAATTTTCCCCCTGGGTTAGGATACAAGTACGTGGTTTTCGAAATAAGTCTCTACAGTTGGTAGGAGCAGGGAAAATATTTCCAAAGCCACATTTTGATGTAAAGCATTTATCTTTGGAGGGGGGGGGGGAAGAGAGCAAATATTTGAGTTTTTGTTTAAAAGTTTTGATCGAAATAAGGGCTATGAGGTGTATCAAATACTAAAATTGTTTAACAGCTTTTCTTCCTAAACAAAATGATATATTTCAACCTATATTGAAAAGAAAAAAAAAAAAAAAAAAAAAATTAGAAAGGGGCCCAATAATTGAAAGTGCTTCAGGGCAGATTCTTGCTATCATAGCATGAAGTATGTTCTTTTTATATATTATCTAAAGCATAAAATATTACTTCAAAAATGCAACATAATTTTTCAGCTGAGTCGTTGTGTTTCATTTTTCAATTTTTTATTTTTCGCCTAAGTTACATCTCCTTGTAATATTATACTAGTTCAATTACAGTATG